TGGAGGCCGCGGGCCATTGCGGCGGTGCCGCTATCCTCGTAGGTCGCGAAGAAGGCGTCCAGGAAATGCGAAGCCAGCGAGGAGGAGTGCCTGGTGATGGTGGCTTGGAGGAGGACGGAGGCGTGGCTAACGAGGGCCGCGCGGTCGAGGAGGTGCACCAGGAGGCAGTAGGAGCGAAGCGAGTGGGGCGATGGCGACGAGGCAGCGGACTAGTGGAAGAAGCTGTGCGCGTTCTTGGAAACGGTCTCGGCGGATGAGGGGGAGGGGCTGGGGTTCCTGGGGAGGGAGAGGAGCACGTCGTCGACGTGGCCCTCGGGCGCCGCGGCGGTGGAGAGCGCCTCCCACGCCACCCTCGGGCTGTGCGCGAGGTAGTGGGAGACGTGCGGGGGCGTCGTTGTGGCGGCCGCGGGCACGGCAGAGGCGGCACCGCGGCAGGGGAACAGGACGACGCCACGCCTTTGGGAGTGCGAGGGCGTCGGTCCTGGACGTACGTCGGCGGCAGCGAGGGACGCCAATCCCGAATTCCTTGCGGCCTGTGCCGCGGCCGTTGACACGCCCTGCCCCGGCGGCGGCGGCGGCCCACGAATCGGGGGCCTCGACCAGGCAGGCGCGCTAGATGAGCTCGATGCCGGCAGGTAGGGCAAAGGGGCGGCAACGGAGGAGGAAGAGGTGGATCCGCGAAGACAGCAATGGACCCACGAAGGCGGAGGCGTCCGAGGGGTTCCGCGGTGACGGCAGCGGCGGATCCAAGAAGATCGAGGCGTCCGAGGGGTTCCGCGACGGATCCGCGGCAACGGTGCCAGGAAGATCGCACCAGGGGATCAAGAGGAGAGGTGTTTTGTGCGTGCTGGTTTTTTTGGTGCGTGCGTGGGCTAGGGTGTGAGAAGGGGACAGCCACGAAAGGAGACCTCGTTCGATAACAGGACTCATCGCTCCTACTGCGGCCGCACGGTTTTTCTGCCGCTGGTTAACCGTCGTAGGCTTTTTTTGTTGCAGGTTAACCTTCGCACGTCTATTGAGGGTTGCATGTGAATAGGTGCGGGTTCAGGCCTCAGGAGAAGGTTTTTTCGGTTTGTGGTGGCTTCGTCAGAGGTGGGAGGAGGTACCAAAATAAACCGTGAGAGAGGGACTAAAAAAATCTGGAAGCGAGACTACCAACTGCTCCCTTAGGAGTAGAGATAGAAAAGAGTTTGTTACATGACACACCACAAACACCGCATGCGGATTATTCGCGTGAAATAAAAGATCCTAACTTCTTTGCATCGGCGGTGACCCAAAGGTTGGCCTCAGCAGAGATGGAGGAGAGCAAGATTGGCGGTGGAGCACTCTTATGCTTAAACACTCTTGCATTACGCTCGTTCCAAATCGTCCATGAGACGAGCATAGTGAGGGAGGCCTTGGCTTGGCGGTTCGGCGTACCATCGGCGCAGGTGCTTGCCCACCACTCGTCCACCGAGTCGAACTGGGGCCAAGTGGAAGTGTCAAGCCCATGCATGAGGAATTTCTCAATGACCAAAGACCAAAGACGGCGGGTGTAGCGGCACTTGTAGAAGAGGTGACGTCCGCATTCTTGCACCATCCTGCAAAGAGGGCAGAGATCGCAATTTGGCCACCCGCGCTTCGCCAATTTATCTGTCGTCCACACTCTGTCTTGAAGGGCCAACTAAACAAAAAAATTTGACTTTGGGGGGGGCAAACCTTCCAAACCATTTTGTCCAAGGGAGAAAGGACCATCCCTAGGAACTGTGCCCTATACGCGGAGGCCGCCGAGTATTGCCCACAGGTCGTGTGTTTCCAAACGATATCATCTTCGTTGAGCTCGTCAAGCTGGACCTCATTTACTATCAACCATAGAGCAAAGAATTGTGTGATGTGCTCAACAGAGACATTGGTAGGGGGGTTTATCTTGAGAATCCATGGCCTCCCTCACCTTCCAATTCTTTCTCTTGGAAGCTTCATAGATGAGCGGGGCAATGTCTTTAGGCTTTCACCCAAGGAGCCAAGGAGAGTCCCAAAAGGGAGTCCTCGCACCATTACCAACGGTGATGGTGGTGGAAGCATAGAAAAAGTTGAGGTCCTCCTCATTACATGGGTTTCCCATTCCCACCCACATCTTGGTGGGCTCCTTCCATTCGTACCACGGCCATCGCAAACGGAGAGCCCTCGTAAACTTGTGAGTGTTGAGTACCCCGAGACCTCCGTACTCAAGTGGTCGGCAAACATACTCCCAATTCACCTTGCATTTGGCCCTCGTTGTCTTGTCCGAACCGGACCAAAGGAAAGCTCTCTCGATCTTGTTGACGCTGTGAAGGATGGTTGGTGGGATGACCAACGGGGTGGCGGGGTAGACCACTTGGGAAGTGATCACGGACTTGACAAGGGTCGTACGTCCAATGGTGGTGATGTTTTGGCCATCATACGTTGATAACTTGCTTGCAACTTTGTCCACAAGAAATTGGAGATCCACCAACTTTAGCTTCCAAACGGAGAGGGGGAGCCCCAAGTATCACAGTGGGAAAGATGTCCGTGCAGCCGGCAAACTTTGAGTTAGGCGACCCAAATCTAGGTGGTTGCAACGAATGGGCACCACCGAGCTCTTCTGGAAATTGGTTCAAAGGCTTGTGACCTCCCCGAACCCCTTCAAAATGCTTGCCGGGTTGTCAACATCCTTTTTGATCGGAGCCAACAAGACGGCCGCGTCGTCCGCATAGAGGGAGGTCCTCAACATGGCTCCCCGCCCCCTTATTCTATGGAGGAGACCCCTCCGAGTTGCCACATCTAAGATTTTTTGTAGCGGATCGATGGCGATGACGAATAGGAGCGGGGATACGGGGTCTCCCTGCCGAAGGCCCTGTCCGTGCTTGATGGGGTTGCCGGCAAGGACGATCCTCGAGGAAGAGGTGCTAAGGAGGGCTGCGATCCAATCCCTGAATTTGCTCGGAAATCCTCGCCTTTGGAGGAGATCAAGCAAATATTACCACTTAACAGAGTCGAAGGCCTTCCGAATATCAAGCTTGAAAAGGAGGGAGGGGGTCTTCCTCGCATGGAGGCGTCGAGCAAGGTTGCGAACATACAGAAAATTTGCATGGATGCTTCTTGTTTTGATGAAGGCGCTTTGGGCGTTGGAGACGAGATTTTTCATATGGGGGCCAAGTCTTAAGGAGAACACTTTTGCAATAATCTTCGCGATCGCATGGATGAGGCTAATGGGTCTATAGTCGGTGATTCCCTCCGCCCCATCCTTTTTAGGCAAGAGGACCACATTTGCGGAGTTGAGCCACTGGAGATTTGACGTTTGCAGGGAGTCGAAATGCGAAATGACCCTCATGAGGTCGGTTTTGATAATGCCCATTTCTTGAAGAAGAGGCCCGTGAAGCCATCTGGCCCCGGCGCCTTGTCGCTAGGCATGTCATTGATCGCTTCAAGAACCTCACACTTGGCCATTGGAGCGCCAAGGCCATGCAAGTCAAGTGGTTCCAAATTAAGCTCCTCCCAATTGAAATCTTTGCGACTACGGGGGCCTCTCTTCATGACCTTGGAGAACTGCTCGTGGATTAGCTTTTCTTTGGCGCCGTGCTCGGTGACCCACCCATGCGCATTCTTGATCCTATGAATATGATTTTTCCTCCTCCTTGCATTAACTCGGCGGTGAAAGAATTTGGTATTTGCATCACCATCTTTAAGATTGGAAATTCTTGCACATTGCTTCTTACGTGATCTTTCGAGCACGGCCAAGGCAATAACCCTTCTCTTGAGCCTAGCCCGGAGCTCAAGTTCGTCGGCGGAGAGGAGTCTATTCTCTTGAGCGATGTCAAGGCGAAGGATCACCAAAAGCGCGGCCTGGTGGTGAATTTTTGCCTTCAAGAAAAGGCCCCTACTCCATTCGGAGAGTCGGAGTGCAGTCTTTTTGAGTTTGTGGTAAAGCACTTGGTATGGCTCGGTGTGGTCAGTCCTCTCGTTCCACACCTTCTGGACCACCTCGTCAAACCCGGGCATGGATGCCCAAAAGTTTTTAAACTTAAAGACCCGAGGTCTTCTTGGCCCCTTCTCATCGGCAAGTAGAAGCGGACAATGATCGGAGAGGGAGGATGAAAGTGCATTAAGTACATGGGTGTTGAAGGTTGTGTCCCAATCGGCGTTGTAAAAAAAGGAGTCTATCTTGCACAAGGTTGGGTTCGTCCTCTCATTGCTCCAAGTGAAACGCCGGTTCTGGAGGTGGATTTCCCTGAGCTCACAGCTCTGGAGTGTTGCCCTAAAACGGTTTATCCTGCTTCGGTTGACATTTTTCTTATTTTTATCGCACGTCCGATAGATTTGGTTAAAATCACCGGTGGCAAGCCAGGCCGTCCCTAACGGTGGCTTCTCAGCCAACAACTCGGCAAAGAAAGCATATTTGCAAGAGTGGTCCGTGGGGCCATAGACGGTCGTGATTTTGAAAAGCACGTCAGTCCCTCGCACCCGAACCATGGCGGAGAGGCAATATATCGTGAAGCTGATGCAAGAAACATCCACAAGGAGATCATCCCAAAGCATCAAGATGCCACCCCTAGTGCCCTAAGCAGGTCTTTGCGCGAAGCTACGCAATCTGTGCCCGCCCAAGGAAGCTGCTGTGAATTGGTCGACTTTGCCGAGCTTAGTCTCTTGTAGGCACACGATATGGCATGACGAGGAGGCAATCGTTGCATTCACCATAGATCATCGGTCCAGGCAGTTAAGACCCCTTATGTTCCAACTGAGGAAGTTAATTGGTTGATCTATCATGTAAAACAGAGAGCACCTTGAGGACTATCTTCCAAGAAGCAGTGCAAACGGACACAACAACATTTTGCATTCTAAAGGTCACATGAACATAATCCACTACAGATACATGGCCACAGGCCAACACAACTCGTGCTAGAAACACATTGAGCACCCCATACACGGGCCAAACACACAACGTGGCATAGTCTTGTGCTAACATTAAGAAACTATGGGCCCGGGTAGACAGCAACAGCAAGCGCTCAAGCATTAGCCAGCTGAGCCACGATGCCGTCGTCGTTCGACTCCAGGTCGAGTGCACCATCACCTCCATGCGCAATGAGGGCCTCCTCCATGCCCGTAGCGCTATTGTAATCGAGCTTGAACAATCCTCGCATGGCTACGATTACATCTGGTGGCAGGTGCTCCTTGAAACGCTTAGCGAAAGCGTCCAGGGCGGCAGCAGTGACATCCTGCCCATCCTTGACGATGCATAGAGTGCGGCACACCAGCAGTTCAGCCGCTCTGGCCGCCGGAGTCACCTTGGGGCGCCCAGCCGCAACAGCCTTAGGACGTCCAGAAGCACATGACTTGGTGATGGAGAAGCCTCCACCAGCCTTGGAGATGACGAGCCCAGCCATGGTCTTCCGGCGAGTTGACGGTGCCCGAGCCGGTGTTGGAGCAGGGGGACATGATGGCCTCCTGGCGGTCTTCGAAGAGTGGCGCGAGGCACTGCAGTCCTACCGCCCCTTCAACAGCAACAGCCCCCCTGCGCAGCCGCACCGGCGAAGGCATGCGCCGCAGAGGACCACTTGAGATCAGAGGAGGCGTTGGGGAGGCCTCAAAACCTGGTGGCCTCGCAGGTGAGAGCAACGGAGCTTGGAGCATGGACGGAGAGCAGAGCAGGCGCAACAGCGCGGTAAGGCGAGCCTGCAAGAGCGGTGAGAGGCGCTCCTCACTTCTCCTGGAGCGTGGATATGGTGGGAGCACAGTTGTAGGCAACAGAGGTGGGGAGGCAGGTGGCGTGAGAGCTTCCTGGGAGCGGCGTCGTGCCGCGCGCGGCGAGGGCTGGCGCACATGGCTTCGGCCTCGTCCCGAAGCAGCCAGGGGAGTGGCCTGCACAGGCACCAGCTCCAGCACATGTGCTGCGTCACCACTTGCAGAGCCAGAGCCTTGAAGCGCCGCGGCACGACCCATATCCGTGCCCGGCTCAGCAGAACGGCGATGGCCACCACTGTCCCGACGGCCGTCCCGCCCCTCTTCACGGCGGTTGCCACGCGAGGCGTCCCGCGGATGACGGATCTGGATCTGGATCGGGCTTTGGCCACGCCACCTCCCCCACCGCCGGGCAGGCCGGTGCGCGATCTGCGGGACGTCTCTTGTGTGCCTGAGACTCCCCCCGAGCTGCTCCTCACCGCGTCTCGCCAGGCTGCTTCTGGCCACGCGCTCGCCTTCAATGCCGACGCGGCTGGGCAGGAGAGGCGCATTAACTCTGTCAGCTGGGCTGACCGAGTCCGCGGCAACGACACACACGCCCTGGATGCGCATTCATCACGGGAGGCAACCGCGGGGCTCGAGGCGATGGACGGCTGGGTCACCGTCGCGTCCCGTCGGCCGCGCCGGCCGGCTTTTCCTGCTACTCCATTGAAGCCGCGCCAACCCGTCCCGGACTAGATTAAAGGGCTCTGATTCCGCTGCCTCTTCCCTCGCCATCAACAAGCCGAGTGCCGCAACCCAATCACCTGTCGCCGCTGCTTCCAACCCGGCCACAAAGCAAAGAACTGCTTCAATAAGCCTGCTCCGCACCTTTGCCCGGGCGCCTCTGTCGTGCGCCCCAGTCGCCCCTTCCCTGTGCGTGCAGCGCCTATGCCGGCCCCGCCTCGTCCCCAAGCCCTCCCCCGCGCCATGGCTTGGTCCGGCGACCACTCGCAGAGGCCGGTAGAGGTGTTCACGGTGATCCACGCCACGCCGGCCATGCACCAGGAGGCGGCGCTCCTCGGCTCGAACGCCATCGTGGCTCGGCTCGACCGCGACCTCAGGGCCTCCACGCAAGACATCGCCAACGCCATTGTTCAAGAGATGGGCATGTTGCCGGACGACGTGTGCGTCGTTAAGCACTTCCCAGAGGCCTTCCTGGTGCGGTTCTTCCACCAACACCACTGCGCGAACGCTACCGGGCGCCGCGACCTGAAGTTCCGAGACACCAGGTGAAGGAAATATGCCCTAGAGGCAATAATAATGTTATTATTTTATTTTCTTATATCATGGTAAATGTTTATTATTCATGCTAGAATTGTATTATCCGGAAACATAATACTTGTGTGAATACATAGACAAACCAAACGTCACTAGTATGCCTCTACTTGACTAGCTCATTAATCAAAGATGGTTATGTTTCCTAACCATACACATGTGTTGTCATTTGATTAACGGGATCACATTATTAGGAGAATGATGTGATTGACATGACCCATTCCATTAGCCTAGCACCCGATCGTTTAGTATGTTGCTATTGCTTTCTTCATGACTTATACATGTTCCTATGACTATGAGATTATGCAACTCCCGTTTGCCGGAGGAACACTTTGTGTGCTACCAAACGTCACAACGTAACTGTGTGATTATAAAGGAGCTCTATAGGTGTCTCCAAAGGTACATGTTGGGTTGGCGTATTTCGAGATTAGGATTTGTCACTCCAATTGTCGGAGAGGTATCTCTGGGCCCTCTCGGTAATGCACATCACATAAGCCTTGCAAGCATTTCAACTAATGAGTTAGTTGCGAGATGATGTATTACGAAACGAGTAAAGAGACTTGCCGGTATCGAGATTGAACTAGGTATTGAGATACCGACGATCGAATCTCGGGCAAGTAAAATACCGATGACAAAGGGAACAACGTATGTTGTTATGCGGTCTGACCGATAAATATCTTCGTAGAATATGTAGGAGCCAATATGAGCATCCAGGTTCCGCTATTGGTTATTGACCGGAGACGTGTCTCGGTCATGTCTACATTGTTCTCGAACCCGTAGGGTCCGCACGCTTAAGGTTTCGATGACAGTTATATTATGAGTTTATGAGTTTTGATGTACCAAAGTTAGTTCGGAGTCCCGGATGTGATCACGGACATAACGAGGAGTCTCGAAATGGTCGAGACATAAAGATTGATATATTAGACGGCTATATTCGGACACCGGAAGTGTTCCGGGTGATTTCGGAGAAAACCGGAGAGCCGGAGGGTTACCGGAACCCTACCGGAAGAAGTAATGGGCCATATGGGCCTTAGTGGAGAGAGAGAGGGGCAGCTAGGGTGGGCCACGCGCCTCCTTCCCCCTGGTCCGAATTGGACTAGGAGAAGGGGGGCGGCGCCCCCCTTTCCTTCTTCCTCCCCACTTCCTTCCCCCTCCTAGTAGGAGTCCTACTCCTACTAGGAGGAGGACTCCTCCTGGCGCGCCAATAGGGGCCGGCCGGCCTCCTCCCCTTGCTCCTTTATATACGGGGGCAGGGGCACCCTAGACACACAAGTTGATCCACATGATCATATTCTTAGCCGTGTGCGGTGCCCCCTTCCACCATAATCCTCGATAATATTGTAGCGGTGCTTAGGCGAAGCCCTGCGACGGTAGTACATCAAGATCGTCACCACGCCGTCGTGCTGACGGAACTCTACCCCGACACTTTGCTGGATCGGAGTCCGAGGATCATCATCGAGCTGCACGTGTGCTAAAACTCGGAGGTGCCATAGTTTCGGTGCTTGATCGGTCGGGCCGTGAAGACGTACGACTACATCAACCGCGTTGTGCTAACGCTTCCGCTATCAGTCTACAAGGGTACGTAGATCACACTCTCCCCTCTCGTTGCTATGCATCACCATGATCTTGCGTGTGCGTAGGAAAATTTTGAAATTACTACGTTCCCAACAGTGGTATCAGAGCCTAGGTTTTATGTGTTGATGTTATATGCACGAGTAGAACACAAGTGAGTTCTGGGCGATATAAGTCATACCGCTTACCAGCATGTCATACTTTGGTTCGGCGGTATTGTTGGACGAAGCGGCCCGGACCGACATTACGCGTACGCTTACGCGAGACCGGTTCTCCCGACGTGCTTTGCACAAAGGTGGCTAGCGGGTGACAGTTTCTCCAACTTTAGTTGAACCGAGTGTGGCTATGCCCGGTCCTTGCGAAGGTTAAAACAGCACCAACTTGATAAACTATCGTTGTGGTTTTGATGCGTAGGTAAGATTGGTTCTTGCTTAAGCCCGTAGCAGCCACGTAAAACTTGCAACAACAAAGTAGAGGACGTCTAACTTGTTTTTGCAGGGCATGTTGTGATGTGATATGGTCAAGACATGATGCTAAATTTTATTGTATGAGATGATCATGTTTTGTAACCAAGTTATCGGCAACTGGGAGGAGCCATATGGTTGTCGCTTTATTGTATGCAATGCAATTGCGTTGTAATGCTTTACTTTATCACTAAGCGGTAGCGATAGTCGTGGAAGCATAAGATTGGCGAGACGACAACGATGCTACAATGGTGATCAAGGTGTCGCGCCGGTGACGATGGTGATCATGACGGTGCTTCGAAGATGGAGATCAGAAGCACAAGATGATGATGGCCATATCATATCACTTATATTGATTGCATGTGATGTTTATCATTTATGCATCTTATCTTGCTTTGATTGACGGTAGCATTTTAAGATGATCTCTCACTAATTATCAAGAAGTGTTCTCCCTGAGTATGCACCATTGCAAAAGTTCTTCGTGCTGAGACACCACGTGATGATCGGGTGTGATAGGCTCTACGTTCAAATACAACGGGTGCAAAACAGTTGCACACGCAGAATACTTAGGTTATACTTGACGAGCCAAGCATATACAGATATGGCCTCGGAACACGGAGACCGAAAGGTCGAGCGTGAATCATATAGTAGATATGATCAACATAGCGATGTTCACCAATGAAACTACTCCATCTCACGTGATGATCGGACATGGTTTAGTTGATTTGGATCACGCAATCACTTAGAGGATTAGAGGGATGTCTATCTAAGTGGGAGTTCTTTAGTAATATGATTAATTGAACCTAATTTATCATGAACTTAGTACCTGATAGTATCTTGCTTGTTTATGTTTTGTTGTAGATAGATGGCCCGTGTTGTTGTTCCGTTGAATTTTAATGCGTTCCTTGAGAAAGCAAAGTTGAAAGATGATGGTAGCAATTACACGGACTGGGTCCGTAACTTGAGGATTGTCCTCATTGCTGCACAAAAGAATTACATCCTGGAAGCACCACTGGGTGCCAGGCCTGCTGCTGGAGCACACCAGATGTTATGAACGTCTGGCGGAGCAAAGCTGATGACTACTCGATAGTTCAGTGTGCCATGCTTTACGGCTTAGAATCGGGACTTCAACGACGTTTTGAACATCATGGAGCATATGAGATGTTCCAGGAGTTGAAGTTAATATTTCAAGCAAATGCCCGGATTGAGAGATATGAAGTCTCCAATAAGTTCTATAGCTGCAAGATGGAGGAGAACAGTTCTGTCAGTGAGCATATACTCAAAATGTCCGGGTATAATAATCACTTGATTCAATTGGGAGTTAATCTTCCAGATGATTGCGTCATTGACAA